ATTTTGTTACTGATTTAACCAATGCCTTCTTCAGCATCCCCACTGCCCCAGAGTCAAGACCAATTCACCTGGGAAGAACAACAGACCTTTACCGTCGTGCCCCAGGGATATTTGCATAGCCATGGTGGTCTTGAAGGGGTACATGTTTTCTATTACACTGAAGATATCATGCTAACTTCTGAGTCTTTTTTCAGCTTTCAAACTGTGCCCCCCCACACCTTGCTGTCTCATCTAGCAAACAGCGGATGAGCCATAACACAGATAAAATCCAGGGCCGAGGCTTATCAGCCAAATACTTGGGTCTGCAATCATGGACAGGTGCAGGCATACTCACATTCTGTGACACCAAAAGCAGCTGGAAACCTTCTTAGGACTCATAAGGTATAGGCATTCTTTTATTCCACATTTGGCCCAACTCCTTAGACCCCTATACTGTTTAGACAAGAAGGGGGCCCACTGAGACTAATCCACAAAGGAGGATGAGAACTTTGAACAAGCTAAAGTCACAGTGAAACAAATACAAGCCACGGGAGTCCAGGTGCAGAGACGGCCTTGTGAACTAGATGTAGCCATTATCCTGAGGGGTTTGGGTAGGGCTTGTGGCAAAGCAGAGAATATATGTGTGCCTTTAGGATTCTGGTCCCAGCTATGAATAAAAGGTGAAGTTAGACATAGTGCCATGGAACGACAACTCTGTGCTATACATTATGCCTTACAACAAGTGGAGAATATTACAAAGGGGGTCCCAGTGCTAGTACGTATCCAGTACCCCAAAGCAGGTTGGCTAAAGGGTATCTTCCAGAAACCAAAGTCTGGGAATGCCCAGACACAGACTGTGGCCAAATGGCATGCATACCTGCAACGGAGGAGCACACGAATAGCCCCTTGAGCTCAGAGCTCCATTCGGTGCTTGGCCCTGTCATCTATGTAAAAACTGTCACATAGTCTTTGAGGGAGGCTGCTGAATCTCCACAGATTCCCTCCTTCATACAGGATGGACAGGGCCCAATGTCTGACTAGGCCTGGTACACTGACAGCTTGTCACGAGGCAATCCTTGCACTTGGACAGGTACGACCATTCAGCCATCCACTGACAGTATCTGGATTGATACAGGCCAAGGACATAGTAGCCAATGAGCTGAGCTGCAAGCTGTCTGGATGGACCTCCTCTATAAGCCAGATCCAACAGTCCTATGTACCCACAGCTGGGCTGTCTGAAGTTAACAGGCATCCAGCATGACATTTTTAAGGAAAATTGTGATTCTCCAGCATACACTTCTCCCTGATTTCCAAAGCATAATATATCAATAAATATCATCTTCATCAATACTGCCACTGATACACCTGATTATGTGTGTGTGCGTGTGTGTGTGTACTTTGGAAAAGTCTGATAGGATATAGTTATCCCTTAGTGTCTATGGGGTATTAGTTCTAGGACCCCTGAGATACCAAAATCTAATGACAGCTCAAGACCCTTATATAAAATGGCTTAGTATTTGCATATAGCCTATGTACATCCTCCCATATAATTTAAATAATCTCTAGATTACTTTTACCTAATCTAATGTAAAGCCACTCGCCATGTGGCTACTACAATGGGAACCATAGGACTAGACAGTAGCAGGTCACCTCCTTTGGGGTAGTGACACATAGGACATTCAGCACTGCATCCAGGGGATGCATAAAATCATCTACCATGTGTATCCCCATACTGCATCTACACCACCTGGAAATGAACAGGCAGACAAATTAACCTGCATTTGTCCCCTCAAGGGAGTCCCCACAGAAGAGGTGGTCAATTGGTTACAAAAGAAGACAGGCCTTTGGGCCATAGCAAAGAATTGGGGCATGCCACTATGATACAAAGACACAGTACACATCTGTCAGCAATATCTTACCTGTGCACAGGAGCGCCACAGGCCCTTGCCACCTGATACCACAAAGACCACCAGGGGCCAGAGTCCAGCACAATGGTGGCAGGTAGACTACATAGGATCTTTGCCTCTATTGGATGGCTGCCACTATGCCTTGACTTGTGCAGAAACCTGCACGGGGCTACTACGGGCATATCCCAACAAGCATGCCACACAAAAAGCCACCATAAAAGCAGAACAGCTGTGTGCAGCCTACAACGTCCACATCAGTATTAACAGGACCAGGGCTCACACTTTACCAGATATAAACTGCAGGAATAGGAAGAGGTCCTGGATATCCACTGGCATATCCACCTGCCGTACAACCCTACAGCATTGGGGCTAACTGAACAAATGAATGGACTGTTGAAACAATTCCTACAGGAGATGTGCTCTCTGGCTCTGTAGACACATTACTTACCAGCAGCCATGCATAACCTGAGTGAACATGCACGTTCTCATCGCCCCATCATGTATACTCTTCTGACACAAGGATGTGATACCACCATCAGGATCCAGGTAGATGGGGTAAAGGACAGTGTACCTTTGCCCTCAACCTGGGACACAAAGTAACCTTCTATTGCCCTTGCCAAAGGACCTACCTACTGGCGAGCAAATCATTATGTGGTTCTGGGAAATGGTAAACCAGACCCTGATGGTTCTGTTTTTCTGCTCCATGGGGAAGGGTCTATATCAGGATATACAGGTCACACCTATTTTACACTATACTCTCCATCGTAATGCTAAAATAACGAATCCTAGTCCTCCCTTGTGCAAGGGGATGAACATCCTCCCATGATGAAACCTTTTAGTACCTCCACTGTCTTCCTCTGGCCTCCTGCAACACATTACAGAGGAGGGCCAGTCCATTGGGTATTGTAAACCAGGCATCGGGCTGCTGCTGCCAGGGGTGGTGCTCTCTCGGAAGGACAAAACTCCCCATGTTTTGTTAAATGGCCAGGACTTGTCCTTTCTTGTACCCACTAAACACCTCACCTTTTGCCCATAGATGGGGTGCCACAAATCTCTCCACTGACTGGATGCAGATGGTTATCTCTCTCCAGAAAAAAAGAGACTACTGGGTCTGTGGAGCGATGCCCCCTCCTCCATTGTCGGCCTGCCATGCCACATCCAAGCAACTAACATTATACTTGGTATAATGACCTTCACCTATTTCCCTTCAGTGACAACAGCACCTCTTGCAGCAAGTTTCCCACCACCAACGACATGAGATGGCATATTTCCTGCTTGGTGAGGGAGCAAGTTAATGTCACTCCTGCTGTAGGTAGGCTATACATGATGATGGGCTAGAGTAAACGACAGCAGTATAGATAGATATAGTGGGTCATGCACCCCTCTTTGTAAAATCACATGGCCATAGACAACCCCAAGGGCGGAACCTGTGCATTAATTAAAACCTGTTGTGTATATATTCCCGATAACTTTCACAATGTAACCCAGGCCATGCAGGCCTTAAATACCCATATTTCCACTACAGAATCCAAGTCTTACAATCCTATAACCATCTGTTTTAATCAACTCCCAAACCATTGAAAAACCTTCTGTATAGTATGATTGTTATTATATTTGTTATTCTTTTTTGTTGTAGTTTATATTGCTACTGCAGCATCTGGCTGCAATGCTCCTCCACATACCTGGCCCCAGGGATATCACGACAGAATGGTATAAGAATGAGAGGGCCATGGAGAGGTACACTGGTGCAGAGTATATGGTAGATGCACCTGACAGCAATAATTTAAGCATATCCTGAGAATGAATGACCCTGTATTGCAGATGCCCCTGACAGCAATAACTTGAGAAAGGAGGTTGCCATGTGAAAGTTGCTGGGGGGAGGATGCTAAGTGAAAATGCTATACAAGCTGCATGCTTTAAGCAAGTAATTACAGTTCTCCTGTCCAGCCCACGACCACTGGACCACCCTATAAGTAAGTGCTGCCAAATAAGCCCTAAGTTTCATTCATTGGCTCTGGGTCTCTTCTTCAGCCTCTCAAACCTGGTACCATCCCTACTGAAGTTAATAGGGGTCCAGCATGACACTCAATTTTAAGGAAAATTGTGATTCTCTAGCTTATACTTCTCCCTGATTTCCACAGCACGATATAGCAATAAATATTGTCATCATCAATATTGCCACCAATGCATCTGATTACATGTGCGTGCGTGCGTGCGTGCGTGCGTGTGTGTGTACTTTGGAGAAGTCTAATACATAGTCATCCTTTAGTATCTACAGGGTTTGGTTCCAGGACCCCTAAGCACCAAAATCTAAGGAATGCTCAAGCCCCTTAATGGCTCAGTATTTGCATATAGCCTACACACATCCTCCCATATAATTTAAATAATCTCTAGATTACTTTTACCTGATCCAATGTAAATGCTATGTAAATATGGTTGACCCTTGAACAACTTGTGGGTCAGGGATACCAATCTCTGTGCAGTCAAAAAACTATGTATAACTTCTGACTCCCACAAAGCCTAACTACTAATAGCCTATGGTTGACCTGAAGCTTTGCCAATAACATAAACAGTTGATTAACCGTATTTTTTGTTATATGTATTATACACTGTATTCTTACAATAAAGCAAGCTAGAGAAAAAGCAAGCTTTTTCAAATTATTGCAAATCTCCAAAAAAATTTCCAGTATATTTATTTAAAAATATTCATATATAAGTGGACCCATGCAGTTCAAGTCCTCATAGTTCAAAGGTCCACTGTAGTTGCAATACTTTTTAAAATTTTTATTATTTTTTACTGTTTTATCTTTTTATTGTCTTTTTTTTTTCCTGAATATTTTCAAACCACAGTTGGTTGAATTCTCAGATGCTAAGCCCAAAGATATGGAGGGCTGACTGTATACACTATAATGGTGGTTATCCTTTAGAGGTAGGATTGAGTGTTTTTTATATCTTTTTTATAGTTTTCTGAATCAACTAAATTTTTTCAATACATTTTACAATTAGAAACAAAGCTACTTCCATTAAGAAATAAGCAAAATATAAATTATTTGTATGTAAATAAACTGGAGATAAGTTCATCAATATAGACTCACCATGGCAAATCACACTCACCTGCTTCATTACACAAGACTTTCAAGTCAGCTCCAACATATCCATGAGCACTATTTGCCAGCTGCAGCAGTTCAGCCTCAGTGAGCAAATGGGGTACCCTTCGAAGCAGTTTCTGGAGAATATCTAGCCGGTCCTGAGCATTGGGAACTCCAATCTCAATCTCTTTATCAAATCGCCCAGGTCTTCGGAGTGCAGAATCCAAAGCGTGAGGGCGATTTGTGGCCCCAAGGACCAACACTTGTCCTTCACTTCCTTCCTAACAAAATAAAATGAAAATAAATTTCTTATTTTTCTGAAAGTTAGAAAAAAAGAAGGGGGCATGCACTGGCTGTATAAACAAGGATGAATCATCTAACTGTCCAGCCTACTAAGTCCTATCCTACACTTTCATTACCTATCAATTACTTTTATTAGTAATAGATTTTTATTATGCATTTATTACTTTATTACACATTTTTCAATGTTCAGCCTAACTGCTTCCTCCAGTAGAAAGTTTTCCAATACTTACCTCTCCATCTACTATGATATCTCTTACTTCTCACATCTTAACTGTATCATTCTCATAAAAAAAATATATAATACTGTACTATGTAATTGTTTTAACTGTTTTAAATAGTCCTTTTCCCTACTTGGATTATGACATACATAATATTCAAAAAGAACAATACTCTATTAGAAAGTTATCTAAAAAGTCTTCACTCACAGACTATTTTTTAATATGGATACATTTTTAAATTCCTGAAAATAGAGACAACAATATAACCAACATCCAAGTATCAGCCCCCCTTGAATACACAGGTATTTTTGCTCTCTGAAAAGGAAATTAGGAACAGCAAATAATAAAGAACTATGATCATGATCAGCCACCTGTAGAAATTATACAATATTCTATTCAGATGACCCAGAGACCGGCATAACTAGGATATGATTTATGTTAAAAAATTTTTTAAAAAAAGCTCAAACCAAATCAATTACATTGCATGTGCCAACAGATAATGCATGGACTATAGTGAATCTACAAATTATAAGTTTAGAAGTACAAAAACAGGCCCTTAAATATATTCAGACTAACGCATCAGCATCACATTTCCATTCCTTGCCCAAAGGCAAGAACACTAATCCACAACAGGCTTATCCCCATGGCAGAGAAAAAGACAGCAGATTGAAATAATTAAGAGTCTCCAACATTAAGCCTTTCATCTGACGTCATACTTACCAAGAACCCTTGTAATTATAAGATAGCTCTCTATATTTGCCATCAAGGTGAAAATATGGTCATCCATAAACGCAAACATTTGGTCTGCTTAATACTTATATCTCCTGTAAATGGACAAACTAGCATACTATTTTATACATCATTCTCTTGTAAGTGTTATCATGGCTCAGTCTGTCCTCACAACTCTATCATCTCCAACATACTAATAACACTGAATTCTCCAACTTTATAACCTGAGAATCAAACCTGGGACATGACAATCACTCCTAGGTACTATTCCAGGACTGAGAACCAGGTAGTCAGCCAGTCTCCACCAGGTGACAACCCTTCTCTTACAGGCTCTTAAAATTATTAACATGTTAGTAAATAACAGCAACTTAATGCCAATCCTTTATATTATTTTCACATGTTTACTTTCTATCACTAGACAATAAAAAACAAAAGTTCTAAATGACCAGTTTTTTTAATGTACAAAAGAGACTTGATACTACATGATTTCTAAAATTTCTTTTGGTTCTAACATATTATGATTGTAAAAACTTTACTTATTCACAATCCAGCATAAAAAGTGTTTTTCTAATTAATGGATGTCAGGAGGCTTAGAAAATTTTTGTTCATGCCTACTCTCTTGTTAGTCCTATGAATATTCCTTCCATAATTAGCATGTAGTTTTTATTAATAAAAGAATGTATACCCTATCAGAGAATCTGGTAACATGAGTAATTCTTTTTAAATGTTGTACAAAACATTTTCCATTATTCTCACTTTCTTTCCTTTCATTTCCATAGTACAAAGCCTTGAAAGAGTCCATTTTTTACATGGGTAATAAGACTTACTCATGGCATCTCTTAATAAAATCCCCGAGGGTCAGGCAAAGTGGCTCAGCCTGTAACCCCAGCACTTTGAGGATCACAAGGTAAGGAGTCTGAGACCAGCCTGGCCAAAATGGTGATACCCTGTCTCTACTAAAATTACAAAAAAAAAAATTAGCCGGGTGTGGTGGTGTGTGCCTGTAATCCCAGCTACTCAGGAGGCTGAGGCAAGAGAATCGCTTGAATCTGGAAGGCGGAGGTTACAGTGAGCCGAGATCGTGCCATTGCACTTCAGCCTGGACCACAAGGCGACACTCCGTCTCAAAATAATAATAAAAATAAAATAAAATAAAATCCCCTAAAATTTAACTGCTCAATCTTCCTTACTGATCTTTGCTTCAGGTTTTAAAGTTAACAGCATTTATCACAAAACAAATCCATCATGGCATAGTATTTTACGTGCTAGAAAAAATATGCCAGGTTATGATGTTGTCCTAGCAGTTACTAAGTAATATACTATAACAAATTATTTTACAGGTCTTTCCTCTAGTTGGTATGGTTAATATTTTGTCCTTATCCTAAAATATCCAAAGACTCTGACACATTCAACAGCTTTTGCCCCTACCTATGTATTTAAGAATTAAATACTACACACAATCAATACTAGCACTATACTTACCGAACCAATGCCATCCATTAGTGTTAAGAGTGAAGCCACAACTCTTTTCTCCACTTCATTCTGAGCTCCCTCTCTTTTTGGACAAAGTGCATCCAGCTCATCAATAAAAATAATTGATGGGTGCCTAAAAACAAACAAGTAAAATGAAATCTCTCGTCTACATTTGATTTTGAATTTTACTTAGTTTCAATTTTAATTAAAACACAACATATCAAATTTAGAATTTACTTAATATTATAAAGATATTATGTTAAGCTAAAAAACCTTAGAAATGCTAACTCACTAACCTCATATACTATCTACCCCATTAAAAGTCTGGGTAATTGAGTAAATCTACTGCTTAAGAGATGAAGGTCTCCTAAGAACTCGCTCAGTAATGCCCAGAACTCTTCCAGTAATGCCCATTAAGTTGTTATGACTGGATCAATTCAGAAGCTGAGGCCAGAGATACTGTCCCTTTGAGTAGGGTTAAAACCAAAGAACACAAACTAGAAATGCCGTGTTATTTTTAAACTATTAAAATTAAAATTTGTAGCCAGGTGCGATGGCTCATGCTTGTAATCCCAGCACTTTGGGAGGATGAGGCGGGTAAATTACAAGGTCAGGCATTCCAGACTAGCCTGGCCAATATAGTGAAACCTGGTCTCTACTAAAAATACAAAAAATTAGCCTGGCATGGTGGCAGGTACCTGTAATCCCAGCTACTTGGGAGGCTGAGGCAGGAGAATCACTTGAACCTGGGAGGCGGAGGTTGCAGTGAGCCAAGATCATGCCACTGCACTCCAGCCTAGTAACTGAGCAAGACTCCATGTCAAAAAAAAAAAAAAAAAAAAGATGTGAATTCTCTCACAAAAGGAAATCTCAGCTGCCATGAAAACAACAAAAGCATCCTAAACAATAAGGTGTTTTCAAATTTTCAGTACAGTACTAGGACTACAAACTGCTTATTTCATCTACTATCATTGGGGAAAAAAAAATAAACTTTAAAATGGCACTTTTTTTTATTTAAGAGCAGTAATTATGATGTTAAACACCAAAACAACCAACGTTTTAGGAGGCTTAGGCAGGAGAATGGCTTGAGCCCAGGAGTTCAAGACTACCCTCGCCAACATAACAAGACCTGTTGCTAGAAAAAAAATACAAAAATTAGCTGGGCATGGTGGTGCTCACCTATAGTTCCAGACACTTAGGAGGCTACAGGGAGAGGATCACTTGAGTTCAGAAATTTAGGTTTCATTGTTATACTGTAATTAGTATTAAAATATGGTTTATAACTTGGTCTAATATAACATCACTCATAATATGGCTATGTCTCTACCATTGTTTTGATTTTGCTTGTTCATTTGTTTTTGAGATAGGGTCTGTGTTGCCCAGGCTGGAGTGCAGCAGTGCGATCATGGCTCACTATAGCCTTGATCTCCCAGGCTCAGTGATCCTCCTGCCTCAGCTTTCCAAGTAGGTGGGACTACAGGCATTTGCTACCATGCCCAGCTAATTGTTTTTATTTTTAAACAGACGGTCCCATTATGGTGCCCAGGCTGGTCTCAAACTCCTGGCTCAAGCAATCCTCCTGCCTTGGCCTCCCAAAGTGTTGGGATTACAGGTATGAGCCACCACACCCAGCCAGAGTTGTTATTTTTATTTTTTTGAGATGAAGTCATGCTCTGTTGCCAGGTTGGAATGTAGTGGCGCAATCTCAGCTCACTGCAACCTCTGCCTCCCAAGTTCAAGTGATTCCCCTGCCTCAGCCACCTGAGTGGCAGGGACTGCAGGTGCCCACCACCACGCCTGGCTAATTTATTGTATTTTAGTAGGGTCAGGGTTTTACCATGTTGGCAAGGGTGGTCTCAATCTCCTGACCTCCTGATCCACCCACCTCAGCCTCCCAAAGTGCTGGGATGATAGGCGTGAGCCACCATGCCCAGCCCAGAGTCATTATTTAATGGGTAAAAGATTTTTCCCTTTGAAGCAAAGTATAACAAAACAAAGTTCTAGCATTAAAGAGCTACAATAATACAGTCTACTAGCATAACTAAAGATATTAGATACACCTAAGCACCTAAAGAAAGTCATGGATTCAAAGGCTCAAACGAGGTCACATGACTTATCAAACATTATGTCTTAATTCTATTTTAAGTAATTTAATAACATTTATCAAACTTTTAAAGATTAGATAGACCGAATTTCATTAGATCTACAATCTATTTCTACTATCACTATTATTTTTATACTGTTGTTTATGCCTTGTATAAAGTGCTACTATCTTACTTTGACTAATACTGCCTTGATTATTAATTCCAAAACATTTAAAAATAAAGAGTACCGTAGAGTGGCTTCAGCAAATATCTGACGTAACTTTGCTTCAGTCTCACCATAGAATCTATAAGAATTAAAATACATTTAAAGATCATTTCTTATTGGTTTCAAAGCTTTGTCTATAAAAGCTAATCCAAATTTTCAATATTTCTATAATACTTAAAATTACTTTCAAAAATCATTTTCCAAGCAAGTTTTATACATTAAAAAGCAAAATATTTCAATGCACGAAAATATCAAGAGTACCACACAATCATTTTTAAAAAACACATTTTAGAAGCATATTTAATATTAAGTTTACTCTATTAAATCATGTACCTACTTGCTTATAATTTCAGGACCATTGATTACAGAAACATAGGCTCCAACTTCATTAGCCACAGCCCTGGCGATCATTGTCTTTCCAGTGCCTGGAGGGCCATAAAGTAACACTCCTCTAGGGGCAGGAATTCCTGGAAGAAAAAGAAGAAAACACTAGATTCACCATTACTAGGTTTCTTATAAATGTTGTCATACAAGTTCAAACATGGGTTATAAAACGTAAATTTACTTTGCATCACAAACAGTCAAGAGTTTTTTCTACCCTTCCAAAAAGATGTACTAACTAGCCCATACATTGATCCCCAATAATGACTCTCTCTCTGTAGGCCACAGAACAAGAGGAAGCATGTTGGTTAAAAAAAAAAACATCTAGACACCCACATTGTTGCCATGCCCCGTCCCACACAACACAGTTCAATGATCAGAAAACAAAGCCCAGACAACATAAGTAGACAAGCCACCAATCCCAGTTTTCTTCCAACTAACCATCTTGAAAATGGGGTACTTATGTTTGCTAGTACATAAGGTACATAAGTACTAGCAAAATGCCAATCCAGGGGTTCATTTTACATATACATACACATAGTATTTATAAGATTCATGAGAAAGGAAAAAGCAGAGAGATCAGATGCACCAAATACATGCAAAGGATCTCGGCAATAACAATGCAGCAGAAGCCCTGAATTTCCTGAGTCAAACCATTCCTTTAATTACCTGCTTCAGGGCAAAGTGATGGGTACACAGTTACATTTCCTAACAAAAAAGTTTTATCTAATGTTTTTGAATGGTTTATTTCTTCAGTCATTACAGATGATCCAGCATGACAAGATATTATTGTAAAGCCAATACAGGTAAATGTGGAAATATGCTATTAGAAAAGACAAGGCTGTCACTAATTTACATTACAACCTAAAGATACCAAAGAGAAATGGCCAGAAAATGGCCCGTTTAAACTGGCATCTCCTAAAGCAACTGACCTCTTCTACCATACCTACCACTCAGGAAATAAAAACAGGAAAAGAGGATGAACAATCATTAGACAAGTGTCAACTGTCTTAATTTGAATTTAACATTTTTGGGTGCAATAAACTGAAGAAATCATACCATAACTCTTGAAAAGTTCCGGCTGTTTGAGGGGCAATTCAATCATTTCTCGAATTGCTTTCAGCTGACTACTTAAGCCTCCTATCATGTCATAAGTTACTTTGAATTGGTTGTCTTGCTCTTTTGAATTTTTATCAATCTCTGTAAAATTGACTCTTGTTGTTGAAGAAATAAAATAAAAGGTATCAGTATTGCATTTCGCTCCCATGCTGAACTTTAGCAGTCTTTCTTCTTTGATAAGTTGATCATTTCCTTCTCTGGCAGATTCAGAACTACATTTAAGACCTGTGACTTCCTCTAGCACAACTCCACTGTCATCTCCAGGGCTCTGTGTAACATCCAACAAAACATCACTGGTTTTATTTATAATTCTCTCATCAACTGGTTTACAAGGAGTACTTCTCAATGATGGGATCCGGGTCTCCTCCAGATCTAACTGGCTTAGCTGTAAGGATAACTCCAGGCTACTGGTTTCCATGCTGGACTGTTCAAAGGCCATTCTTTGGGCATCGGTGTCATTCTGAGGCCCTCCCAATATCATGCCATCTGCCCCTTTCACTCGCAATACTTGCAACTTGCATGGTCGTCCATAAAATGTACAATACAGAAAGTTGCCTGGTAAAATAATCTTGCCATCTAGAAAATAATTTATTAAATATACATGTTAGCATAATATTTTTACCAGTTTAATGTTTAAATAGTAATATATTTCATCTATCATCTGACTGAAAAGACTAAATCAAAGATGGAGTATTAATAAAGTAACTGTCATAAAAAAACTGAGGACCTAATATTCCCCTACATTATAGCACCATCTGGAGACAGAAGGATAAGATGATTATCTGAAATCTTCCATACTCAGTGTAGCTCAGATTCTATCAACCACATCAACAAACAGCCGGGCATTCCACATTCAATAATAAACTAAACCCAAACCAACACTCCAAGATAGCATCACTCAACTGAAAGGGCAACAATGCAAGGGTTAAAAGTCCCAGATCTAACACTGACTCTTTCCACAGGCAAATCATATATTCTTTCCACTGCTCGACTGCCAATTAACCAGAAAAGTAACACATCCCTATCTTAAAAGTATATTCATTCACTGAGGGGAATATTCTCAAAGCTATTTTGAAGAAAACTACCATGCATATATAAGCCCTCAAAGACACTTTATTTGCTGATGCCTTGCACCTTAAAACTTAAGAAAACAATTTAAAATATTTGTCTCACCTAGTTTTCTCAGGATACAATCAGTCAGTTCTTCTTCATTAATTTCCATATCTTTGTCACTGTAAAAGGATGAGAAGGGGACAGAAATCAGCATTAGGTACACCAGAAACTAAACTGTGGTGTAAAATTACATGTATATAGTTATAATATAGACTTAAAAGAAAAATCCATCTTCAACCTTAAAATAAATAATGTATACAACTTTGAAATGATTTACATTGTTTAGAAACTTATAGCCATGAAAATATCATTTGCAATCTGGTGCCTTAGTGGCCTAAATCAATGTACTTCAAAACACAAGGGTAATAAAATCATTTGATTCAGCCCCATCCAGCACTTTTTTAATAGAATAAAAAATGCAGGGTACACTGAATATAGAAACGGTAAATACTGCTTTGTAAAACATTAATTTCTAACACATACATACACATACGCACACATAGGTGCACTATACCTATGGATGTGTATATACAAAGAATCATGATGAAAAATGCATTTTTATTAAGTGCCATAGTCAAAAACATTTTTCAAACACTGACCTACACTAATAATTCCCTTTAGGAAGTTGCATAGTTTGGAGAAAGGCTCTTATTAATAACTTACTTCCCTTCCTTAGTATGACTTACAAATTATTTCAAGAAAATTAAGTCCTATATAGTATGTTACTTGAAGAGGCAGAAGTAGGAAAAAGGGGAGTAATGGTTACAACAAAGGATTTTTCTGAAGAAAGGGCATGACTGAGGAAAAATGAGATCCCCTTCTTCATAATAACTGTGTCTCCCCAGAGTCGCTTAAGCGCAGGAAGTGAATGCACCTAAATACCATGCATTTGTAAAGAAACTTGCTCTTGGACAGTTCTCAGAGCATGAGCATTTTTCCTCCTCCTCCATACATATGCAGCCCATATCAGGAGGGGCGACAAACAGCTGTCTGATTCTGTCAGTGACCAGTGGAGGGGGGACACTTTAGCTCAAGGGGAAGTGTAAGTGGAAGCCGAGCATAATGGCTCATGCCTGTAATCCCAGCACTTTGGGAAGCTGAGGTGGGTAGATTGCCTAAGCTCAGGAGTTCAAGTCTAGCCTGGGCAACATGGCAAAAACCCATCTCTACAAAAAATACAAGCCAGGCATGGCAACTCATGCCTGTAATCCCAGCACTTTGGGAGGCCAAGGCAGGCAGATCGCAAGATCAAGAGATCGAGACCATCCTGGCCAACATGGTGAAACCCCATCTCTACTAAAAATACAAAAATTAGCTGGGCGTGGTGGCACGCACCTGTAGACTCTCCTGCCTCAGCCTCCCTAGCTACTCAGGAGGCTGAGGCAGGAGAGTCACTTGAACCCAGGAGGCAGAGGTTGCGGTGAGCCGAGATCACAGCACTGTACTTCAGCCTGGTGACAGACCAAGACTCCATCTCCAAAAAAAAAAAAAATAGATAGATAGATAGATAGATACACACACACACACACACACACACACACACACACACACACACAAGAAAATTAGCTTCACTGGATGTGGTGGCATGTGCCTGTGTGCCCATCTGGTCAAAAAAAACTGTTCTCCAATCACGTTTTTTATTTCTTGAGATGAGGTCTTGTTCTGTTACCAAGGTTGGAGTGCAGTGGCGTGATCTCCGCTCACTGCAACCTCCACCTTGCAGGCTCAAGTGATCCTCCCACCTTAGCCTCCAGAGTAACTGGGAACACAGGCGCTCATCACCATACCCAGCTAAATTTTTTTTTTTTAATTTTTTGTAGAGACAGTGTTTCACCATGTTGCCCAGGCTGATCTTGAACTCCTGAGCTCTGGTGATCCACCCATGTCACCCTCCCAAAGTGCTGGGATTACAGGCGTTTCCAATCACTTCAGTAATAATACAATATAGTCAATCCTCAGTACTTGTGGATGCTTATTTGCAAATTTATCTACTCCCAAAAATTTATGTGTACCCCAAAATCAATACTCATGGAGCATTTCTAGTCATTAGTGACACAGAAAAGCAGCAAAAAATTTGGGTCACCCAACACTCATGTTACTAGCTTATGTAGGATAAGGTAACACTCTGCCTTGTTTCAGCTCTCATTCAAAGATGACCAGAAAATGAAAGTGACAGGGGCACAGCAGTGTAGTGAAGAAGCTCCAGGCCTGGAGCTAGTTGGAGGGGGCTTAAATCCTATAGTGGGGCAGCCTCAGGCAAGCCCCTTAACACTTCTAAATCTCCTCTTCTCTTCTGTAAAATAAAGAAGATAAAATCTACCAGAATGAATTATTTTGGAATTTTAAGATTATAATCTATGTAAAATGTATAAATATTTTTATTGCGTGTGTTGCACATGTACACACACACACACACACACACACACACACACACACACAGGTATTTCCCTGTAGAAGAAATGGTTCAGTATATGCTAACAGTGTTCATGGCAACTTTAATGGAACATAACTAATCGCAAATAATGAGAATCAACAATATATTCATATACAAGAGAGAGCATAAAAGAAACAGAATGAAGGGGAAATTTCATAAATCAAATATATATATTAACTAATGAGAAAATGTATCACCTTAAATGCTTACATTTACTTCTGTTTCTAGAACTCTAAACCAAATTATACTTAATCACTTTTATTTATGAAACTCTAAATAGAAGGTATTTACAAATCTATGTAAGAACAGTAAAAATACCAAACCAGTTTTGCTTTTAAAAAAATAATAGTTGCACATAAAATAATTTCCACTAGAAGGAGCTCTAACATTACTATTAGTAATAAAATCTTGCAACTGAAGGATTTAAGCAGACTAAAATAACTGATTTTCCCAATTGGAAATTAAATATCTTGTCTATACTCAGCTGCCACATTTAAAACATAAGATTTTTTAAAACAAAATTTTAAAACCTGAGCTTTCATTTAAAACATACACAGTCCTCTATAATAAGCAATCATTAATCACCTAAGACTGCTGTGCATTCAAGAGGTCTGACTACTCTGCAGATCATCATAAATGCTCATTCTAGTCAACGAATTACTGCTATCTGTCGCACTGTTTTAAGACATAGTCTGAGGAATAATCCAGTTTAATCTGAACAATATTATTAACTACCTCATAAAATATTAGGCAAGTTACTTCTCCTCATTAAGCTGTTTCATCTGTTAAAAAAGGGAAGGGTAAATATGTGTGTGTGTGTGTGTGTGTGTGTGCGCACATAAATACACGCAATATGTACAAAGCTCCTATATGCAGCTGGTACTCAACATGTTATCTCCTGTCCTTTCTGCTTTTTATTGTTCATTAAACTGTTACTATAAGCTCTGAAAATATTTTCCTGTTATATAGGAAAAACTATGCCAAAACTCAAGTCTAAAATCTACAATTGTAGCAAAAGAGAAGGAAACATTTTAAAATCAAGCTAATGACTAGAAAATAGTTTGTGGGACTTACATATAATGTAAACACATCCCCCAAACTATTACTAAGATGACATTAAAGTATAAAAAGATGCTTTTTGTAAATGACTTTTGATAAGACTGTATATGCAAACTGAATCAAAATCCTATTAGATACAGAATATCCAAGAGGATGGATGATACACCTTAACTATCTTGATAGGTAGATTCAAACAATTAGCCTGCGGTGAGGGATCATTTTAAAATCTGATAGTAATGACTGCTTGTTTTACTACATTGAATAATCAGCAAGTTAAAATATACAATCAGGTTCTTTGCTTGCATAGTCTTAATTAAAACTTGTTTGTTTGATTCACAGTAATCTCCTCTTTTCTTTACAATTGTAAGTAAAGAAGCCCTGATTACACTGCAAGACAAGGTAAAAAATACTGCTAAATATTCATCAATGAAAATTACTCTCACCTAAAATGTTAGGTCAAACTCTAATCATGAAAAATAAAAGTGCTTAGTCCATAAATTATAACGCACTCATTTAGCTTGTGTTGTCTAATATAACACAAGTAGCCACTAGCCACTCATCACACGTAGCTGTCAACGGCTTCAAATGGGGCTAGTACAAACTGTGATATGCTTCAAGTATAACATATACACTGGATTTTGAAGACTTAGTTTGAAAAAAAAGGATGTACAATATTTTATTGGTAACTTTTTTCTTTCTTGAGACACAGTCTCACTCTGTCACCCAGGCTGGAGTACAGTGGCACAATCCTGGCTCACCGCAACCTCCGCCTCCCAGGCTCAAGCAATATTGTCTTAGCTCCAAACAGCTGGGACTACAGGCACATACCTCTATGCCCAGAAATTTTTTTTTTTATTTTTTGTAGAGACAGGATTTCTCCATGTTGCGCAGGCTGGTCTCGAACTCCTGAGCACAAGAGATCCACTTGCCTTGGCTTCCCAAAGTGCTGGGATTATAGGCACAAGCCACCACACCCGGCCCTTATTTGTAATTTTTTATAATTACATGTTAAAATACATTTTTACATATATTGGTTAAATAAAACATAGTATTATAATTCATTGCACCTGTTTCTCTCTACTTTTTAAAATGTTACTACAAGAAAATGCAAAATTACATATGTGGTTTACATTTGTGACTCTTGTTATATTGCTATGGGGCAGCTTTGACCCAGAGAGTCACCAAAGAAAAGAGCCAAACCTCAGTGCCACATCCATTTCCTCAGCCTGTAGCACAGCACCCACAAGAGGCTGGACCTGGATGGCATCACCAGGCCTCACACCCACATTCTTCTGTGCCACTTCATTCAGGCCAACCTTGCCTCCAGGAAATCCTGCGATAGGCCAGGCTGTATAGACCTACCAGAGGAAATAAAAAGGTTAGAAAATAAATATTCATAGACCACCATCAATTTCTAAGGCAGAATGCTAAGCACAGTCACGTACTTAGATATACAAAATACAGTCTTTACCTTAAAGGAGTTATAACACGACACCAATTGCAATAAGGTAAATTGCATTTTTTAAACAATTTAAACACGACACGGGCTCACGAAAAATAAACTTTATAATAAATATTTTATCTTTTTCTAAAGATCAAGAATTATCCCACAGTGAAGATGGTAGAAGATATGAAAGGTAGATATAGGAAAAAAGATAAAGGCATTAACAGGTGATAATGAAAAAAATGACAAAAATATTAAGGCAAGATAACCTGTAAAGTAATCCAGACTGGAAATTAAACTAGGAAAACATCCAGGAAATAGTGAGGAACACACCACAAGAGCTTTGTCAGAACCTGAGCCTTATCACATTTAAATGTTAAGAGAGAAGAGCAAAAATTTCCAGCTTGAGCTCACACATTTATAGTTCTCTCTTCTATAAGACACAGTAAAGGACCTTTAACGTATAAGCCAGAAAAATGATAAGAACAGGAGTGGTGTCATCAGCAGACAAAAAATTTCAAAGTATTTCCAGAGGATCCCCAGCGGATAAGAGAAGCATCAGAGGAAGCCACGAAAGAGAAGAGGCTAGTAGCAGAGAATAATGCCAAGCTGCCAAAAATGATCCAGGAAAGGGTTCCAGGCTTGGTAGGCTTGGAATCTCAGATATAAAGAATGACAGGAAGAAGAAACAGCTGAAACTAGGGAGAACAGTAAAATATTTGTATACAGAACAGGTGATCTTCTTACCCCAAAATAACATTTTTTATAAAGAAATATAACTAACTGACAGGGAGAAATACCATCACTTCCTCCGGAGGAAACACTTCTCTCTACATCATAACATTTTAGGGGCTACTACTCCCAGCAGAGTCATATACATAAAAGGAAAAGAGAGTTAATATGCATGTTAATATCTTTTAAATTACAGTTTTTCATTTATTCCTGGTTGTGTTAAAAATTAAAAACAGAAATATGTCAACCACAGGTTGGGTACCTTATCCAAAATGCTTAGGGCCAGAAGCATTTGGTGTTTTCCATTTTGGAATATTTACCTTATGTTTACTAGCTAAGAATCCCAAATCTGAAATCCAAATGTTCCAATGAGCATTTCCTTTGAGCACCATAGCACTCAAGAGGTTTCAAATTTTAGAGCATTTCAGAGTTTAGATTTTTGGATTTGCAATGTTCAATCTATATTTCTAAACTAAGGAAACAAAAAAGACTCTTACCTCTTGCTTTCCATTCAAACTAGTAAGCAACACTGGTCGACCTATACATATATTTGCAGACTTCATAGTGTTGAGTCCAAGATGAATAAGGGAATTCTGGAATGTTTTAGGAATTTTGTCATCTACTATGAAGGAAAAGAAAATTATTTTTGTGCCACTTTGTAACTGAAGTTAAAGCATACTATCTTTCACAGTAAATAAAAATCCTCTAACCATATAACCACATGAATATACTTACCATACCCTGGAGAAACTAGTGGTCCAACTTTTGTTATAACAAAAAGATTTAGAACCAAAGGCTTTTGAGGGTCTACTGGCAACATATGAAGTATTAACTAAAAAGAAGATGTTCTATGGAGTGAGAATGGGTTCCATTTCTTCTTTTTTAGTCTCTCATTTCATTAAGAACTAAACATAATTGCAAAAGAGGGTCTCTGAGCTTTTAAGTTCAAAGTCGAGTCAGCTAGTAGCATTCAAAAGATTGAACTGGGAACCGGCACATCTATCTGGCTCTAGAGGATTAAGTTGTTTCTACTTCTGCCCCACATATGGTCACCAGATCTTTTTCTTTTCTATTACCAAGAATACATAAAGATAGTAACACAAGTCTTTTTTTTTTTTTGAGACGGAGTCTCGCTCTTGTTACCCAGGCTGGAGTGCAATGGCGCGATCTCGGCTCACCACAACCTCCGTCTCCTGGGTTCAGGCAATTCTCCTGCCTCAGCCTCCTGAGTAGCTGGGATTACAGGCACGTGCCACCATGCCCAGCTAATTTTTTGTATTTTTAGTAAAGACAGGGTTTCACCATGTTGACCAGGATGGTCTCGATCTCTTGACCTCGTGATCCACCCGCCTCGGCCTCCCAAAGTGCTGGGATTACAGGCTTGAGCCACCGTGCCCGGCCTACAAGTCTTATTCCTTATACAAACACACTGACTGAAATGATCATTAGTGATTTCAAATTCTGGCTGAAAAGGGGGACCCAGAATTCAGTCCAGTTGACATCATCTCTGAAAATGATGGGCTGACATCTCCATTCCTTTCTATCCACCGCCCCCCCCCCACCAAGCTCCATATTAGGCTAGGCTCCCCCCTCTAATTCCCCCAGAACTCTGTGCTGCCAGTTAATAGCATTTATCGTCATAATATCCATTTGTCTTTCTCCTTAATTGTACACTACTTTGAAGTAGGAATTGTGTCCTACTTTTCTCTGTATCTCCAATGCTTAAAAGTGCATTAAATATAGCAGTTGCATAATAAATGGCCATAAAATGAATAAATATAGTAAATGTGTAAATAATATTTTTCTTTTCAGTACAAAATCCATGAATCGTTTATGGAATTTAAAAATGCCACAACTGATCAAGGAAGTGAGAGAGGACACAAACAGATGGAAAAACATTCCATGCTCATGGTTAGGAAGAATCAATATTGTGAAAATGGCCATACTGCCCAAAGTAATTTATAGATTCAACGTTATCCCCACCAAGCTACCAATGACCTTCTTCACAAAACTGGAAAAAACCACATTAAACTTCATATAAAACCAAAAGAGCGCCCTCATAGCCAAGTCAATTCTAAGCAAAAAGAACAAAGCTGGAGGCATCATGCTACCAATTTCAAACTATCCTACAAGGCTACAGTAATCAAAACAGCAAGGTACCGGTACCAAAACAGAGATATAGACCGATGGAACAGAACGGAGGCCTCGGAGGCAACGCCACACATCTACAGCTATCTGATCTTTGACAAACCTGACAAAAACAAGCAATGGGGAAAGGATTCCTGTTTAATAAATGGTGTTGGGAAAACTGGCTATCCATGCGCAGAAAGCAGAAACTGGACTCCTTCCTGACACCTTACACTAAAATTAACTCCAGATGGATTAAAGATCTAAACATAAGACCTAACACCATAAAAACCCTAGAAGAAAACCTAGGCAAAACCATTCAGTACATAGGCATAGGCAAGGACTTCATGACTAAAACACCAAAAGCAATGGCAACAAAAGCCGAAATAGACAAATGGGACCTAATGTAACTCCAGAGCTTCTGCACAACAAAAGAAACAATCATTAGAGTGAACCAGCAACCAACAGAGCGGGAAAAAATTTTTGCAATCTGCTCATCTGACAAAGGGCTAATATCCAGAATCTACAAAGAACTAAAACAGATTTACAAGAAAAAAACAAACCCATTCAAAAGTGAGCAAAGGACGTGAACAGACACTTTTCAAAAGAAGACATACATGAGGCCAAAAAACATATGAAAAAATGCTCATCATCACTGTTCATTAGAGAAATGCAAATCAAAACCACATTGAGATACCATCTCACACCAGTTAGACTAGCAATCATTAAAAACTCTGGATACAACAGATGCTGGTGAGGATATGGAGAAATAGGAACCCTTTTACACTGTTGGTGGGAGTGTAAATTAGTTCAACCATTGTGGAAGACAGTGTGGCAATTCCTCAAAGACCTAGAAATAGAAATTCCATTTGACCCAGCAAGCTCATTACTGGGTATATACCCAAAGGATTATAAATTGTTCTATTATAAATACACATGCACAAGCATGTTCATTGTGGCACTGTTTACAATAGCAAAGACCTGAAACCAACACAAATGCCTATTAATGATAGACTGGACAAGGAAAACGTGGCACATATACACCATGGAATACTATGCAACCATAAAAAAAGGAAGAGTTCGTGTCCTTTGTAGGGACATGGATGAATTTGGAAATCACCATTCTCAGCAAACTGACACAAGAACAGAAAATCAAACACTGCATGTTCTCACTCATAGGCGGGTGTTGAACAATGAGAACACGTGGACATAGGGAGGGGAGCATCACACACTGGGGTCTGTTAGGGGAGACTAGGGGAAGGACAACATGGGGTAGGGAGTTGGGAAGGGCTAACATGGGGAGAAATGCCAGATACAGGTGACGGGGATGGAGGCAGCAAACCACATTGCCATGTATGTATCTATGCAAAAATCCTGCATGTTCTGCACATGTACTCAGAACCCAAAGTGCAATAAAATATAAAAAATTTAAAAAAAAAAGATTTAAAAAGTCACCTCATTATAAAATTTATTGTAAACATATATATCATAATCACAGAGCTCTACCTAAGTTTCCCTTAATAATCAGAAGAAACAGATATTTTGTAATGAAAAAGAAATTGTCAATGAGAGCAAAACCATAAGGTATAAATTTGATTTACATTATTCTGTCACTACAAATAACCTCCCAACATGTTTCTTTTCCTTCTTAGAAGAGGTGCAAATCTAGAAAAACAAAGCATCTCACAGAGCTAAGATGAACAGCACTGGAATAAAACAAAATTAACACATACTGCATAATATGAGAAGCTGGACAGAAATTCAACCTTCCAATGAACATTAGGTCTCTTACACAGCTTGCTGGTCATTAGCAGTAAAGCATACTGCTGTTAGATGACCTCATAATATTCAGTTCCTGCCGTTTTCTTCCTAAACCTATGAACTACCTTTCCCTCTTGACAATTACCAAACAAGTGTCCTCAGTCCCTCCCAAGATGTTAATTTTCTTCTTCTCCTGTCACCCTATCCGGCACATTCTCCATGCCCCAGGATTTAGCAATGTATCACAGGTTTCCCTAAATATCTCCACACTTCTCTTTCAATGGTAGTCATGTTCAAGTTCCCATTGACTGGTCTCATTTTCCAAAACACCACCACTGTATTCTCTGCTTACACTACACAGATCTACTCAATTTGTCCACACAGTTCCCTTCTCACCTCACTCCTCCAATACTTTAAAAATATGTCAACATCTAATTTCTCCATTAACTACCTTCACATGTATTGAGCACCTTAAGTATCAGATTAACTAACAAGATAGCAAAGATAATTTGAAACAACCATCCACCCTTCATTTATTCATCCAGCAAATACATACTATGTGTCTACTATATGGCAGACACTATGTCAGGCATTTTTATTCACAAGTCCTTGGCCTCAAGAGTTTATGGCCTTAAAGGATGAGTGAGTTATCAAACAATCAGTGAATAGCTGTGAAATTAGAAACTAATATTAATACAATGAAAAAATAAGTTAGAATGCTAGGAGAGCCTATAATGTGGGATCTGATAATTTCGAATAAGAGAATGTTTCTCAAAGGAAGTGATATTAAAATCAGATCTGAAAGAAGAGTAGAAAATAACTAAATGAAGAAAAGAAAAAGGTAATTCCCATCAAAAAGAACAGCATGAACAGAGTTCCCAGGCAGAAGGGGATATGGCGCATCCTCAGGAGAGTACAGGTAGAGTGGTGAAGACATGGGGAAGCCATGTAAAGAAGGTCAAGACCACCCAGGGCAATAGTGCAATAGGCTACATCAAGATGCTGGTCATTACTCTGACAGCAATGGGAGCCCAGAGAGGGGTGAAAAGCAGTGTTGTAACAGGATCTTCATTTTAAAAGATCATTCTTGCTGCACAGTGGAAAAGGAATAAGGAAAGGGGCAAAATTGGAAACAGGAAAATCAGTTAAAAGGCTGTTGTAGCACTCCAGGTGAGAGATAGTGGGTTTGAAATTAAGGTAGATACAGTGGGAATGGTGTGTAAAAGAGGAATATGGAACATATTTAGATGATACACATGATTTACTGGTGGACTAGGTATGTGAGATCGGGGGGCAGGGAGGTGTCATGGATGAATTTTGCAATAGGAAAAACTGAACAGAGTTAGTTTGTTTTGTTGGAGGAAACGCAGGCTCTTGAAGTTAGTCCTGAAGTATCTTTGAGATAACCATGAGATGAGTTATTTCACAGTGCTATTCAAACTGTGACCTGCAAACGATTTGTTACTGCTTCATGGCAAGATAAGTACAAATCAAGAGAATAAGCATTTAGAAGTTTTTACTGAAATTTACAGAGTAATTTCACATCTGTTTAATAAAAAATTTTTCTAAATTATTTTTCTAGAAAATAATTTTTACTGTATTTTACAAAAGTGCTGATCTGTGACCTAAGGTACATTTTAAAGCCTTTACCACAGAGAGCTTGAGAAGCATTGGGCTAAAAGACAACTATATTAAGGCACAAAAACAAAAGATTTACAAATATAAATCTGACACTAAAGAGACTATAGATAGGAAACTGGGCACTGGATGAACTTGCCAAGGAGAGAGGATTTACTGAGAGGGGAAAAAAATGTTTTGAAAAAAGAATTGACGAATTTCAACATTTAATGGTCAAGGGAAGACTATCAGCCTGCTAAGGAAAATGAAGTACCAATAAAGATGGAGAAAACTAGAAAAGTTTGACAACACATAAGAAGTAAAGTGTTTCCAGAGGAAGGAAATGGTCAATAATACCCAAAACTCCTGTGATCAAGTAAGGTTTATCAACATGGAGCTGCTCAGAGACCACGCCAGAACAGTTTCCATGGAATGACGGCGTGAAAGTCAAAGAGAATAGGCTAACGAGTGAGTATGTAAGTGATAAGGCGGCAGAGACCACTCGAAGAAGTTTGGCAATGGACAGAGATGGTTGTAGGAAGAAAATGGGGAGCTTTTGTTCTGATTTTAAGACGGAAGAGAAATGAGCATGTTTAGATGTCAATGCAAAGGATCTAGTTCATAAAGAACTTGAATCTTCAGGACAGAACAAGTTGTCTTCCCATACCTAAGAAAGAGCGAAAACACTATGTGAACTCTAAGATTGTCTTTAAGGTTTGATTAGACATAAATCATTTTGCCACTAGCTTAGTCTGGTCCATTGTTCAAAGCTATTACATTTCAAATATAAACATTCAATGTATAATTCAATTTACAAGACTTTTAGATATAAATTAGTTCTCCCAAATAAAGGAAGCTGTCATCTAGAACAATGGCTTTTAAGTAAAACCCAACTGGATTCAAATATCGCTCTGCCACTTAGTATCTGTGTAACCTAAATGGAATCACGTTAACTTCTCTTCCTCTATAAAACGGGCATTACTATACCCATCGGTCACAGCTTCTGTAGAAATTATATGAGATAAACATACTGCTAACACTAGTGTGAAGTTACTAGCAGTTATTAAATATCATAACCTGTGCAGTACTGGAAGAAAATGCTATAAATCACTCCTAAAGGCAGAGTGATCCACATTTTTACTGGTTATTCAGCTTTTTAGGATAAGTATTCCACGTTCGCTAGTTATGAACAATTTTGCAATTAATTATGTCGTTAATGTTAAATGAGACAAAGCGTTTCAAGTGCAACGTAAAAATTCAACACAATTTACAAGAGACGCCTTAGACACGGATAAACCATCTCAGCCTAACTTCTCCAGTGCAGGCATGGCTACGGTTGCATGCTTCTTACAAACATAAGTTTTACATGCTTCTCTGTCGCTCTGAGACCTATGTCACGCACAACTTTCAAAAGTCTCTCCACCCCAAGTCAGCATCACTGCGTCTCCCTCCCCTCAGGTTGCGCCCCCTCTGCCTCTAACCTCCCTCCCGGAATTCTTTACCCTTTTCTAAGAAGTTGGTCACTGTCAGAGTCCCGGCGGCCGCCACGAAGTCTGACCCAGCAGAAGGAGTCCGTGCCCCCGCACAAGAGGAAGCAGCAGACGGCAAGGGCGAACCATTTTCCGCGCTTTGGTTCAGCCGCTTTCTGTTCTTCTTGGAGGACATGATCAGCAGAAAGCCTATAGGAAGAAGTAGCAAAGCCGACTCAAGGTGCGCGCTTCAACCAAGAGAAAAACTTCCGGGGCAGAGATTAGCGAGGTTCCGCCCCTGCGCCGTAATCCTCTGAGTGGAGCGCAGTAGCGTCAGCGTGGTGGGAGGGACTGAGCGTTTTCAAAACCAGCAGTCTTTGGAACGGCTATTGGGGGTCTGGGGTCTGCAATAGAAGATACGTTCCGGGAACGGAACTAACACTTAGATTGCAAATTCCTGAAAAACGGGACGTTTTTGCATCTCCTCCCGGCTTTCCCATCTCTAAACCAACCTCTGTTGACTTAAACTACCAAATAAAATTAAGTGGGTGGCGGTGGGGAAGGAGGTTTTCCCAGCTTAACTGGAGCGGGGCAAATTGTCGAGAGTGGCCAGTGGCCGACTTCGCGGTCTCCTTGGCGTAGCTCAGCAGAACGGTAACCCCAGCTCAACTCTAAGAGCGAAATGATGGCACTCTTCTAAAATGTACGGCCGCGAGCTATGGTCTAGAGCGCGGAGGGGTCAAAAAGGCTACGGCCGAATGCGACTGCGTGGAGATGCGTCCGCTGTTAAGCTGTGGCACCTGGCGCGCGGTGCTTGCTCGGGCTTGGAGACCTAGGCCTTCGGCGGATTACCTGGGGGTCTTGGACGCACAGGGTTACGCGCGGAATCCCCCAGTTGGAGCGTGCGAGCTGCAGGGCGAGCTGGACAGATTCGGGGGCATCTCGGTGCGCCTGGCGCGGCTCGAAGCGCTGGACCGCCTGGACGCCACCGCCTTCAAGAAGGGCTTGCAGGGCAAGTGCGCCTGAGGCGAAGGGCTCCCGGGGCTCCAGAGCTTTTCTAATGAAATAACCGCAGCCCCCACTCCCGAGTCGCTCTGTGCACTCGTATCGAGCCCAGTGGAAAGGGGAGAAGGCACGCGTGACCCAGACCTGTTTTCTGGAGCATTCGTTCTTAGACCCTTTGCTGAGTGGTCTCTAAGGCGATTAGGTGAAATGGTGAAGATCCCACAGTTTGGGATCTGCGACCCTGGTTGCTGGTCCACTCTAGTATGGGGCATTCGGAAATTGCCCGTGAACCACCATTTCCTCTTCCGTAAACCCTGGTGGTAGGAATTCCTGGGATTGCCGAGAATTAATTTGGATAATGTATATAAAGTGCACAGCACAGTGTCTGCCACATATTTAACGCTCAGTAGATGTTTGTTAATCTTATTACATTATTACCATCATTTACCGAGCCTTGGTTCTGTCGGACACTTTTCTCAAGGGAAAAAACTGTCTTACATTCTAATACGGGTGGTTTACTGAGTGTACCAAAGAGGCTCTTTTTTAATTTTTGTGGGTATATAGTAGGTGTATGTTTATGGGATATATGAGCTATTTTGATACAGGCATATGTGTAATAATTACATCAGGGTAAATGAGATATTCAGCACCACAAGCATTCAACCACAATCCAGTTACTCTTTTAGGGTTTTTGTTGTTGTTTTTGTTTGCTTGTTTCTTTGAGACAGGGTATCATTCTGTTTCCCAGGCTAGAGCGCAGTGGCGGGATCATGGGTCACTGTAGCCTGCAACTCTTGAGCTCAAGCAATCCTCCCACTGCAGCCTCCTGGGTAGCTGGGACTACAGGCGTGCATCTGGCTTTTTTCTATTTTTTTCTAGAGACAGTGTCTCACTGTGTTGCCCTGGCTTGTCTCAGTCTCCTGGCTCAACTCATTCTCCCGCCTTGGCCTCTCAAAGTGCTGGGATTACAGACAGGAGCCAACGCACCTGGCCTGAATTATTGAATATAGTCACCGAGTTGTGCTATCAAATACTAAACCAGAGAGGTTCAGAGTGTCACATTTGTATACAAATTGGGTCAACAGCTGTCGCAGCAAGAACTGGAGTTTTTTAGAATAACACTTCTTTTATAATTAACCAGGGAGCATGGTGGGTGGTTTCAGTCTTCAGTAAGAACTACTGGCTTTGAACCTTGAGCCCAATGATAAGAAAGCTCAGATGGAGGAGCCTTCACTTTGGAAGAAGTCCTTGATTTAGTGCTACTGAGAGTCTTATAATCTAACTAAAGGCATAGTATCCAAATTCAACTACGGAAAGATCTCTCACACAGGATACTCAAAATAATCTTTATCCTATTGAGCAATATGGCAAGAAGCATATCTGTAATTATAATTGAGCTAGTAATTTCAATGTTTACTCATCCTTATTCCCAGACTTCTTACAGGCTTCACATTATTTTCTCTCCTAGGTGGGAGTTAATTGCTGACAAGCCCACTTAGACTGCAACAATGTCAGTAATAGGAGAATCAATCAATTTATATTCCAGTGTGTGGGTAGACACAGGTGTTACACACACTGATACTTATCAGTGACCAAACAGGTGATCAAAGCACTACCTCTAGTCAGCATGGTAAAGGAGAAAGCTATTCGATTTGGAGCTGCATATCCTGGGTTCAAATACCAGATTCTGCCACTTGTTTAGCTAGGCATTAGGCAAATTGCCACTGAAAATATTTGCTTCTTTTTGTGAATAACACCAGCTCTAATTACTGGATAGATACGTTGATCAAAGATGAAACTAATTTGTAAATTGAAGTACAAAATACTTATATTTTTTCAATAAAACAAATTTTGTTGCACTTAGTGGTAGATGTTTCAGGATCTTTATAAATACTAATTCATTTCATTCTCCTAACAAGACTTTGAGGTAGATATTATTCCCATTTTAAAGAAAGTACTGAGGCACAGAGAAAAAGTTACTTCTGGCTCTAGACCTGTCTAACTCACTGCACTATGCTACCTCGAAGAACTACTGCTGGTTCTGTTATAGTTGAACACAACTAACTGAAGGGTAGTGCCTATAAAGAGAAACTATTTACACATGAAGTCCACTATTCTTAGTCTTTAAGAATAAAGACTATTCTTAGTCCGTTGTTAGTCTTTATGGACTAAGAAGTCCATATTTTTAGTGGAATATGAAGTCGACTATTCATACTCTTTTAGAACGTGAACTATTGATGTTTTGTTACCAACAACTGAAGTTAGAGGGATAAACAGGCAATATATTGTTAGCTTCACACATAATGTATCTTCGTCAGTAATGAAATACTGCTGGTTCTGGCTCCTGCTATGCCACTGACTAGCTGTGTGACTTTAGGCAAGCCAATCATTTCATTAGTACAAATTGAGCCACAGTACATAATGTAGGTGGTTAACCTGGAGAATTGCAAATGCATAGAATATTAAATAGGATTAGAAAACATAGCTAATGGAAGCAATATCATTAGGTCATATGTAATAAGTTCTAATTGTACAGACATAGTAGTCCTTAGATTCATATAAGGGAGAACTCATGAGCAGTGGTTAGGAAAAGGCTGGTCAAATACGTGGAATGTGAGCTGGACTTTGAAGGGTAGATATTAGAAATGGGACTGGGAGGTGGGGGAAGAAAAAGCAATAAAGCTTATAGAGAAAAGAAAGCAATTAAAAGTGATTCTAAGATTTCAAGCATTGGTGCCAGAAATAAATAAGTTTGGGGTGTAAGTTCAGTTTTGCACACACTCTGTGAAGTTTGATGCAGACAGGAAATACCTGGGAACAACTGGAAAACAAAGTTTAGTGTTCAGTGAGGTCAGGACTGGGCAGCCATCCTCATGTAGGTGTCAGTTGAAGTAGTGGGAGTGGATGGATTCTCCAAGGCAGAGTGCAGATATAAAAACAGCAAGCAAATAGCATTCCTTCTAGAAACTAACTTTTTAATTTGATTGAAAGGATTGCCTGGGAAGGAGCACATGTGAAATTCATGGAATGATAGAAACGTTCTATAATGTTAAAGTGTGAGTTATGGGAATATGCATATGTCAAAACTCATCAAATGTGCACTTAAGGTTTGTATACTTCACTTTATGTACTTTACCTCGATTTTTAAAGATGTAATCAGATAAAGAGAGCAAGGTGAGAAGGACCTGATCCTATAACTGCACTGCATGCTAAATCAAATCAGGAAGACTTTATTAAAGGCCCCATGTGCCTCTCATTGTGCTAGGCACACCAACTTTCAAAGAGATAGAGAACATTTTCTTTAAAAGAGAGAAGCCTACTGCAGAGCTAGGGAAAAGAGAAGAGAAAGTTAATTAACCATTAACTGTATAATCAAGCCCCAAGACAGACAGACAGACAGACACACACACACACACACACACACACACACAAACACACACACGTACTTTATTATAGAGTTTTATAAAGATTAAATGAGATGATGAAGAAAGTGATTTGAAAAGTTTTTCTAAAAACTGTAAAACTGAAGTATTCATTTCTTCACCTATAAATTTAAGGTAGTAATACCTTTCATGGTTGTGTACTTAATGAGGTAATGTATATAACGTGCTTGGAACTTGTAAGTTTCAAATAGATATTTGCATCTTTTTCCCCTGGCTCAATCTTAAGTAATAAAGTAAGAGAATTTAAGGAAGGCAAAGAGAAAACCTATAATTCATGATATTATCTATAATAAAGAAAAATTAGAATTCCCATATGCTAGTAATATGTGAAGTTTGATTTTTTCATTATATTTTTTATTTTCAAGATTTCTAGAACCAGCATACATTATTTAAAAACAAAATTTAACTACCTTGAAATTTATACATCAAAAACATTATAAGAGAACTCTTAAAGGAAGAAAAAACAAGTCCATAATTGTCACTAAGATTAAACCTAAGACTGCTAAAAGGAACAGCATTAAAATGTTATTTGATTTGGTCTAAATCCATTTATTTGTCCACTCTAAAGTGTGCCAAGCATTGTCTTTGGTGGTATGGATATAAAGGTCAGCAGTGTACTGACTTTATTCTCAAGGAATTCAGTCTGATAGAAAAATCATAATAACCGCAGGGTGGTTATTATGATAAAACATGGTAGTTCCAGTGCCAGCAATGTGAACAGGACATTTGGGGACCTCATTTGCTTAAAGATGGCTTCCTGGAGGAGGTGAAACCCTGAAGTGAATTTTAATTTATTCCACTAGTCTCTCTGGAAATTATTTAGAC